CCCCTCTCTCCCTCAGGTGTCCCCTTCCCCCACTCTCTCCCTCAGGTTCCCCCCCCCTTGAGCTCCTACCTTGTAGCGTGGCCGAGCGCACCGCGGAGCTCAGTCTCCTGTACCCGGCGGACAGGAAGTGCTCTTTCTGTGAGCACTTCATTTCCGTCCGCCCGGGTACAAGAAACATAAGTTCCTGTACCGCGGCGCGCTCAGCCACGCTACACAGAGTGCCTGGCAGGAGGGAGCGCTATGCTCACCTCCTGCCGGTCACTCCGGCTTTGCACCCGCCGGGCCGGTGCACCCTAAGGCGGCCACTTGTGCCGCCTTATGGATGCGCCGGCGGAGCGCACCCTGCCTCCCTCCGGCGGCCTATGGCCGCGTGCCCACAGAGGGGGCGCGTCGTGCCACCTGTGGCACGCGTGCCATAGGTTCGCCATCACTGGTCTAATCTGACTCCTTTCAAATACCTGATCATTTTCGTATTAATTTTAAAGGGACACTATAGTCACCTGAACAACTTTAGCTTAATGAAGCAGTTTTGGTGTATAGAACATGCCCCTGTAGCCTCACTGCTCAATCCTCTGCCATTTAGGAGTTAAATCCCTTTGTTTATGAACCCTAGTCACACCTCCCTGCATGTGACTTGCACAGCCTTCCATAAACACTTCCTGTAAAGAGAGCCCTATTTAGGCTTTCTTTATTGCAGGTTCTGTTTAATTAAGATTTTCTTATCCCCTGCAATGTTAATAGCCTGCTAGACCCTGCAATAGCCTCCTGTATGTGATTAAAGTTCAATTTAGAGATTGAGATACAATTATTTAAGGTAAATTACATCTGTTTGAAAGTGAAACCAGTTTTTTTTCCATGCAGGCTCTGTCAATCATAGCCAGGGGAGGTGTGACTAGGGCTGCCTAAACAGAAACAAAGTGATTTAACTCCTAAATGACAGTGAATTGAGCAGTGAAATTGCAGGGGAATGATCTATACACTAAAACTGCTTTATTTAGCTAAAGTAATTTCGGTGACCATAGTGTTCCTTTAATGAACTGTTTGCTATTCAGATCTTTCTGAAGAAATGTATAAATAGTTCTAATCATGCCCAATTTTTTCTGGCCGGGCTTTCATTAGGTTCATTCAGGTCCTGTCATGAACTTACCTGTTACTGGCTGCTCCCCTCCTCGGGCCACGCTCAGTCCTAAGTCCTAAGATAGTACTTACCGTTGGTCCCGTGAATGGCTCTCTCTGCTGGTTCGCGGGACGAACTGCAGCCCCTATAAAGAGAATATTTTGCCATGACGTCATGATCTTAAAGGGGCCGCGTCATCTGGGAAGGAAAAATAAGATGATCGATTGCTAGGTTGACTCTCACTAATAGATGATTTTATTCACAGATCAAGTGAAACGATTAGTAGAGGGAAAAATGGAGGAGCAAGAAAAAGCTCTCTATATTTAAATGTTATGTTTTTATTAAATACACAATCTAGAAATATAGATTGCTTTACTGCCCCTCCTGTTTCCTCCGTATTGGTTATTTCTCACGTCATCTGTGAACTGTGACAGATTCCCGATACTCCGACTGAGTATATCCGCTGTAAGTCTCCTGAGTCCCAAAGTGAAGCAGTGATTATATCCCTGGTATACCAAAACATCAGTCGAGACTTGATGAAGGGTACAAGAAGGAATATATTATTATGGCCCAGTGGCCTGTTTAAATACACAGACCCCCAGCATGGCCGAATAAATAAATATAGCCGAATCGCCAATCCCTCCCCTGCCCTGATTGCAGCATGGCTGAGGTAGACAGTATTCATACTCCTCTGGTCTGTTAGTGCAGCTTGGCGCCCTCCACCCCCCTCACCCCGCTGTGCTTTCAATCCCTCCCCTGCCCTGATTGCAGTATGGCTGAGGTAGACGGTATTCATACTCCTCTGGTCTGTTAGTGCAGCTTGGCACCCTCCAACCCCCTCACCCTTCAATCCCTCCCCTGCCCTGATTGCAGTATGGCTGAGGTAGACGGTATTCATACTCCTCTGGTCTGTTAGTGCAGCTTGGCACCCTCCAACCCCCTCACCCTTCAATCTCTCACCTGCCCTGATTGCAGTATGGCTGAGGTAGATGGTATTCATACTCCTTTGGTCTGTTTTTGCAGCTTGATACCCACAACTGAGGAGAGAGGGTCGGATATGTATTCACTGCAGGCTGGACAGACTGGGCACCGAGTACTTACAAGCACTACAACAGACACCATATCCACCGTAGTCCCCACAGGCAGCATTACAGCTTGGTTGGGGTCTCACTGTCCTCCACCCAACCTATACCCAAGACCAGGATCCTGCTTCCAGTGGGTCGACCTCTCATTCTCCGGAGAGTATAGCAGAAGAGCTCTTACAAGAGCTAGTGATTATAATCCAAGGGAGTATAGTGATTACAGCAATCCCCAGAGTGAATATAGCTGTTTCCTCCACACATTTTGAGGGTGAAGGTGAACTATTTAATGGCAGCCACAATTGACCTTACATATAGGTCCCCATGCAAGGGGTTTGCTATAACCGTGCACATGGTCCTATGCCAAAAACAGTTCCAGGGAATCAGGGCTAACGGTCGGTCTCTCTTTGTGGAGTACAAAAGTACATAGATCACCTGAACGGAGCCTTTTAAAGTGCATTGGGCAAGGAATATTGCAGGGCCCATGGTCCTGAGGCATGAGGCTGGCCAGCAGGCCCCTTCAAGAACCCGTGACGAGGTTCAGTTCATCACATCCATGATTAAAATGGAAAGATTATTTCAGATCCTTGTCTCAGCACAGGGAAGGACAAAACTCCAAAATAGGTAAAATAGGTCAAACCCCAATAAAATGTATTTCAAATCTTGGATGAAACATGTTCTGGGCATTAATAGCAAATACGTGAAATCCATTGAAATAAGAGGATGATGTGTCCTTTGTTGAGCTCCATCTTGTGGTAGGGTATAATATTACATAATGTGCAATGTAAGTCTCATTCATAGAAAGAAACACGATAATCCTTGCACAAATCAACCAAGGTGAAAAAGTCAGGTGTTTCATTATAGATCTAGATAACATGCAATAATCAAATGTTTTATGCTTCCATTAGAGTGATTGATTTATTTATTATTAGTTATTGCAAGATAGGTTTTTGAGATTTGGAAATTTAACATATGAAAATACCGTATATAACGGACTCCTATACTCCGACTGAGCATATGCATTGAACGGTGATTATAACTCTGGTATACAAACATCAGCCAAGACTTGATGAAGGGTACTAGATGAACTTTTTATTAGGGCCAAGTGGCCTGTTTTTATACACACACCACCAGCTTGGGGTCTTTATTAATTACAATGGTAAGCCCGCCCAGGCGTCTGTGTCTGGGACATAAGGGAGTTTGCTTTAGCTTTAACTAATTATCTCCTAGGCACTAGAGGTACAAAATATTACAGAAAACACTCCAAAATACATACAATATTGATAGGAACCCCTACAAGTATTATATCCCTAGATAGCCTGCATCTGAGCACCCAAATTGTCCAAATAGCGCTCAGATCCATAAATTCTAGCCAAATCGACACCGGGGTAAAGTTCTGACCGGCCGCACACATGGCTCAATGGACAAAATAGTTCCATGGCATTTGGTGCTTTTGCCAGTCAACTTTTGGGAGTTCCCATACAAAATCAAATTAATGTTTCCCCTGGCTCGTAGGTTGCAAATGTTCGCCTAGTTCGTGCAAACATTTCCACCGAACAGTGCTCTTCTGTCTTGTTGAGAACGGAAGCAGGCATCAGTACAAAGTCACTGTAACTGCACCCCAGATATAGAAGGGGTTAACGCCGCCAAAGATGTTCCCTTCCCAAACACAAGATCAGCTACCGAACACTCCTAAGCGCCGAACAGGAAAACACACGAATAATTCCCCCCCAAGCATGAAGCGAGGCTCTGTATTTAGGGTCAAGCTGGAATCTGTTTAATGTGGGCTACATGCCCATCTTTTATGCAGGTCTTCTACCCAGGGACACTCCCTTAGGGACCTGGTGGAAGACTGTGACAATTTTTTACAGTGACCAATCAGAATGAATACATAAACACTCCCACATGAATATTACAGAACCCTCCTCTCTATCCTGGAGGTAATTGAGTTAAGTGCTAGAAGTAACTCAATTAACTCTCAGGATAGAGTGTAACCTCCATTTTACCATGACAATAAAAACACATAAAAATATATAATTCCCAAACTACCGAACAGAATCCCCAGATAGCTTAGATCTAAGTTCACAATATCACTGAATAGCGCTCAGATTCCATACACACAGTTCAATCGCCATGGAGCTAAAGTCTTTCACATAGTATTTTCGTCATACGAATGGACTCCATGGGATGGCTGTCTGGGGTGGCTCTGTTCGTATAGTCAATGTACCGAACGGCACGGCGTTCGTATGAACCGATGAACAGGACGAAGGCGGGTCGATGACTTCAGCGTTGTTCGTATGAAAATAGTGTCCGTTTTCAGTTCCATAGATTTGTCGACGAACACCGCTGGGCGATCAAATGTCCAAGATGGCGGCCGCCACGTGTTCGTTCATACGAATGATGCCCACCCAGCTGACCATTCGACAGTAGAAATTGTCTGCGGTTAAGCACAACATTCTAATGAGGCCACAATGTTAACAAGCAGCACACTCCCTTGCTGGGTGTCCTGCCGCTCGGTAGTTCATTCGTACAAAAGGGAATTAAACATAGCGGCCGTACGGACAGGGCAATAACCGAACAAACAGGTGAACCAAGGTGAAACAAAAGTAATCCAAGGACAGAGAGGTCTGTCACAGTAACCAAGGTTTGAGAGTGGAAGTATCCATCTCTGAGTTCCAGACGATCGACGACCAAGTGCCTCTGCCCGAGATCGGGAGACAAGATGGCCGTCAT